ATATTAAACTCCTTTCTTATGTAATTTAGTCTTTGATGTATTTGTGGAATGTGAGCCAGAACCTTAGAGTTATAGAACTAGACAGAAGGAGCGTGCAGAGAATTTAGCAGACCAAGAGAATGAGGCACAACATGTGACTGATGCCACATGACTGACACTGAATAAAAGGGCAACAGAAGACCAGGGATGGACAGGACGAATCTGGCTGAATGATGTGGTCGACAGATGTGACACAAACCCTGGTCCTTAAGGCACAAATAAAATATTGGTGGGTAGAGGTAAGGTGGGGACAACAGACCCTGACATGAAGGAAGGCTGAGGAGATCGATGAGTTGGTGATCAGCTCCATGGTTCTCGCTTTCGGGCTGGTATAGCCTCTTAAGGGGCAACAGAGAGATGCCAGTAGACAGACAGACAGACATCTTACATAATATTAATAGTATTCAAGATGTTGCTACCCGAAACTAGAAACAAAGTAATATTTTCAAAGTTTTACTATATATTGTCTCAGGACAATTATTACTTTAAAAGACACTCAGGCTGAAGGAAGGATCCCAAGTGTGTGGCCTGCCTAGATAACTTAAATACCTGTCACAAAATTTAAAAAAAAATTAAAAGGACTAGGGAGATAGCTCAATGGCAGCTTTAGCCTACTGGTGTGAGGACATATGTTCAATCCTCAGTACTATGAGAAAGAAAAAACTTGTCTTCTAGCAATTTTTATTTTGGGTTGGGAAATTTACAAAGACTTGGTCACCATTTCATAATTTTAGTCAGTGTTGAGAGGGATGGCACATACCTGTAAAGCCAGCACTCGGGAATCTGAGGGAGGAGGATCACTGTTTGAGGTCAGGCTGAGCTACACAGTGAGTTAAAGACCAGACTGCAGCACAGAGCAAAACCCTGTCTCAGACAGACAGACAGACAGACAGACAGACAGACAGACAGACAGACAGAGACAGACAGACAGACAGACAGACAGACAGACAAGACAGAGAGAGAAACAGAGACAAAGAGAGAGAGAGAGAGAGAGAGAGAGAGAGAGAGAGAGAGAGACAGAGAGACAGAGAGAGACAGAGAGAGAGACAGAGAGAGAGAGAGACAGAGAGAGAATTCAGTCAGTTCCACAACTCAGCTTGTGTATCAGTCTACTTGGAGAGCTACCACATTCACTGTGATTGGATACATGTACCTGAATAGTCAGTGAAGTGTTACTTCAAACATGTTCTGGGAAAATCAACAGTATTTAGTTGAATACTGTCTCATTTAGCCAAAATCAAAACTTATTCCTTATGCATTAGAGTATAACTGTTCCATTTGTTTTTCTCATGTAGCTGTAAATGAGCAATTATATATGAAACCATATTTTATTATTAAATACATCTCTTTTTCATTTTTTTCTTA